CCGCCGCCACCGCCGCCAGGATACCCCGACATGTTGAGAAAAGGTTATCTGTGAGAGAAAGGTCAGGTCAGAATTGATTGATTTTCCAGCGGTTGATCCGGCGAAAGATTCGCCAGTCTCACAGCATGCTGCTAATTACAATGGCAATTCGTACCTAGAAGTTGGAGTGCATGAATGGACTGAGAAGTAAACCCAGAATATAATGAACGAAATGGGACAGCGGGCGGTAGCTCGCACGAACAGAGTCCCGGCTGTGTGACCTTGGAAGTGAGGAGAAAGCGCTTGGCTGCAATTCAATGTATTGTTTCAACCAACAAGAGGCGATATGTGACGTGCGTGAAAAGCACAGGGTCAAGAATGGAAAGACGAAAGTCACAGCAACAACCAAACAGTAACGAGAGACGTAAGGCACTATTGTGAGAGCAAGAAAGATGGATGGCCCGTCAGAACGAAAGACTGAGACTGCCAAGAACAAGCAAACTTGGTGGAAAACAGGAAACTTCAAAAGGATGCAAGATCACGTGGAGGAGGCCTGAGCTGCGACTTAAGGGGGCGTAACTCCCCCTTTCCCATCCAGACGGAGTGCGGAACGGAGGTTCTGCGTATCAGCTCTGCAAAGGACAGGTGGGGATGCTAGGAAAGGGGGGAGACGGGAACAGGCAAGCACACCACAAGCTTGCAAGTTGCACAGGCACACGGAGTACTTGCAACCGTGCCTGTCACTGTACTCGCTACCTGTGCGTGCATGTAGGTGTGGGCCATGGTGGGAGTGCAGGTACCTGACGGGCGACGGGACAGCCGGACACAGCCCAAGGCGGGAGCCAGTCAACACCAGGCCCAGCCCGGCTGAACTCCCCCAAGTGGCCAATGAGCCCTGGCACGATACGCTCAGGAATCCAGTATTAAGGACCAGCTGCCCTTCTCGTCGACAGCATTCCCCTTAGCACAGCCCCTTCGTTGGCCGCCCATTGTTGAGAGGACGGATTGGCTCAGGGGGCTCCGGAGTCACCATCGGAAATATACTAGATGCAAGGAACGCAAGGTATTGGGTGGATATGGTAGAGGCCGTGCGCGCCACTCTTACACGCACCGTCGCGTCTTGAAGCAGCCAATGGGTGCATAAAGTGACGGAAGCGGAACGCAAATGCAATACGCGTCCAGGCGTCATACACATGTCAACAACATGTACTAGCAACGGCACAGCTGCCACCATGGAGTGGCACTAACGTAGCGCACTAACGTATCAGCCTTGGTGCTTTGGAGCTTGGTGGAGCTGCACCACTGCAGTGGGCAAATCTGTGCTTTGCTTCAGGTTGCTTTGCTCATCTCTGGCAGCAGCCGGGAACCAGCCTTGAAAACGAACCATTCAATTTAACTGCTTTGTAATACTTAGATATCAACATTCACATAAGAGGCAGCTTTGGATCATTATTTTGTCATCACGCATTAGTATATCAATCATCCTGCAACTCCGACGATTCCAGACACCTTGGCAAAATATTATCTGCTAATGTCCACTGCGGAGTTTTGAAACAACAGACCTAAGGAGCTTTGTGGAGGCACCTCACATTTTTTGGCGCATCCTCTCAGGCACAGGTGGAACAGGTGCTATGTGCCGTATTTACACGCGAGAGTTTGCTGGTGGCCATCTTAGTTTCTTAGTCAGCACTGTAATTGACCGGGAAAATATTTTTGCGATCACCGTTCCATTTCGCGGTACCTTGTACCTGTATTGATGCATCGCGAGGCTTTCGCATTGTTATCGCGGTTTTCACGATCAGAGCCTTCTGGGGCGTCAATGGAGACGGCAGCTGCTTCCGCTGAGAGATCCCGTGCTATACGCCCAAGAGAATTCTTCCACGCCTCAGTGTAAACATGGTTGTCATTGAAATGGAGCAAGAGCACCCCAAGGATGTCGTCGATGGCGACGTCGACATGAAGGAAAGCCCCGACGAATCTAGTGTAGACATGGAAGGCAACCCTGGGCAAGACGAACCTCACGACTTATTCCAACTGATCCATGACCTTTCGAAGTATCTATGTAGCGTCGAAGAAAAGTAAGTCGTCTTATGCGCAGGAATTGCTTGCGACGCGTGCCGATTTTAACAAGTTTCAGTGGCGAAGAGCTTGCGGCTGGGTTTCAGCGCATTCCCAACAGACGCCTTTTACCCGACTACTTTGACATCATTGCCGAGCCTATTGCCTTCAGTACCGTCCGAGTATGTTTTTCTACAGCTTGCCGATTGTCTAGCGGCGGCTTTGTTAACGCAATGACAGAGCAAAATCCAAAAGAAGCAGTACACTGCCTTCTCCGAATTCGTCAAAGACGTCGCGCAAATATGCCACAACGCACAAGTCTACAATCGCCCTTCAGCGCCTATATTCGGTGCTGCTGAACGACTTCGAGAGATCTTGCAGGAGGAGCTCAAGAAACTCGTTGATAGTGGCGACATTACAGCCGATGATGCGCGTCTACCAGACTTGGGAGAGCTGCCTCCTGTCGAAGAATCGCCTTCGCAGCAGTCCGAGGATGAAGACGAAGACAGAGGGCGAAACAACGAGGATGACGACGAGGACGATGAGGACGACGAGGAAGAGGAGGAAACCGATGAAGACTCCGACGACGAAGACTACAAAGGCCGGCGGAGACGACGCTATACGTCCGATCGAGGAAGCCGCAGTAATGACAAAGATGCGAGGTTTCAACAGAAAAGAGGCCGCCCACCAATGGTCCTTACTCCGACAGAAGCCAGAATATTCTCGCTCCTCAAGGAGCTTAGGAAAATCAAGGATGCAGATGGAAACGCACTCGCTGTGCCTTTCGAGAGGCTACCGGATAAAACGGTTGTTCCAGACTACTACCAAATAATCGCAAACCCCGTCGCATTGGACAATATCAAGAAGAAGACGAAGCGAAAGAAGTATCAAACAGTCGACCAGGCGCTATCAGACCTTGAGCTCATGTTTGAGAATGCCAAGGCGTATAATGAGGATGATAGCCCGGTGTACGAAGCTGCTGTGAAACTACAGCAGCAGGCCCGGGTACTGGCAGAACAAGAAAAGCTCAAACCAGATGACGATTTCCGTGACGAGGATGGCAAACTTCCTCTGGCAAACATCGAATACAGCGGAGAAACTTGGAGAGTTGGTAAGTCTACTGCCCCGCTTATGTACTCCCGTTCCGTTCTTCTTCTTCTTTTTTCTTAGTTGACTGACGTTTGGCTTACCTCTGGCATCAAACAGGTGACTGGGTGCATATTCGTAACCCCAACGACCTAGCAAAGCCCATTGTTGCTCAAATTTTCCGCACATGGCAAGATCGTGCTGGCCAGAAGTGGATTAATGCCTGTTGGTACTACAGGCCAGAGCAAACAGTTCATCGTTTCGAGAAACACTTTTATGTGCACGAGGTTGTCAAGACAGGCCAATACCGCGACCATCCGATTGCAGACGTTATCGACCGCTGCTACGTAATGTTCGTCACTCGGTTCAACAAGGGACGTCCCAGGGGGCTTGCGCCAGATAAGGACGTCTACGTATGCGAGTCTCGGTACAACGAAGAAAAGTTCCACTTCAACAAAATCAAGACGTGGGCCAGTTGTGTTCCTGATGAGGTGCGGGACAAAGATTACGAGATGGATTTGTTTGATGTTCCTCGTCAAATGAAGAAGATACCCAGTCCAATCAAACACCTCTTGCGTGACGATGCCAAAGAAACAGATGAGCTTCCGCGACCTACCTGGGGAAGCCCAAATGCTCCTCCCATCATTGGCGCCGTCCATCGTCGACCGCCAGGACCCAATGTGAGTTGCTGCTTCTTTCCTCGTATTTTATCGTATTTTTATTTGTTCAATTTCTTTTCGAGATAATTGGCCCTTGAACGCTTTGGACATCCAACTGACCCGAATGTACCTACCTTAGGAATCCCCCCCTCCAGATGCCATGATGCCTGCAATGCCTGCCGCTTCCAAGATGCCCGCAGAACCAGCTCAGCGCCTTCCCATGAATCCTGGAGTTAGAGATGCGGCAAGCGAGGCAGCAAGGAACGGAGCCATCCCTTACGGCATGGCTGGTGCAGTGCCACCTCCCAACCAGTATTACGGACACGTTACACCACATTTCCAGCCAGTGCCTCCAAACGCCGGGTCTATACCACAAACGCCAGTTCCCATACCTCATCCACCGCAACAGACGCCTCCTTCTCATATGCCGATGCGAACAATGCAGTACCAATATCAACCTCAACCTCATCAGCAGCCTGCCTACATGCAAAATTACAACGGCTATGCTCCATCGCCGCAAATGCCCATGCATCATCAACCAGTGCCCAGCCCTCGGCCAACAGGGTATATGCAAGGTCACACTGCGGCAGTGCCCAGGCCGCCGGGGATGGGGACCCCTGGTGTTGCTCAGCCACATGCCAACATGTACAATCCGCCGCGGCCCCCCGAGGTGTACACATTGCCAGACAACATGAATGAGTATTTACCAGAAGCGGTGCGACGGGGGTTTCAGCACGATGAAGCTGGCAGAGTACTGTTCTTTTCAGCTGCTCCTCTTGATCGTTCATGCAATGGCCTTTCGCCGCTGAGCTCAGGGCTTGGACATAGTGCCAAATACCTTGCTGGACGGAGCAAGTGGCTAGCTGAACGCGAAAAGAAGCGAAAAGATAGAGACGAGCTGTTGAATGGGCTACGAGAAAAGCTACAGCGCACAGAACTACAACCTGACGAATCCCCGGCCATCTCACAAGCCGCTCATTCAATGGAACTATACTTTCAGCACCTTGGCCAAGACACTGAGCGTCTAAAAGAGGACGTCGGGCTGTAGCTTTAGATTGGACCTGTCCACAAAAGGATCAATGCGTAATCATCCCTTTAGTCTGCTATATCTTACACAAGGCGAATATCGGACGGCTGGTGTTTTGGAGTATCTTGGCCATACTGGGATAGTATGCCCCCATGCAAGGTGGGAATACGGACTCGAAAATTCGAACGATGAATGATTTGGCGGGCAACGAGTTGGGACTCACACAGTGAATTGTATCAAGACGATGAGAACTGTAATTTGGCAAGCAATTTTAATTTAATTAAAGGCATGTCGCCATTTGGGCGCATTACACTGCCACAGATCATGTCAAAGTCGCATGCTATACTATTTATATCATCGTATTAAAACTGCGCCTCCAACCTTTTGCCGGCCAGGATATTCTCCAGATTCAATCTCATGCTCCACCGAATGGACTCTGTCTCGCCCTTTTCACGAACACTGCCATCCCCCCCAACATTCTGGATGTCGCTGCCGGAGGCCACCAATCCCTTGGCTTTGTGGTGGAACATGATGGTGGGATTGACGCTGATGCACTTCATGTTGAGTGCGCTGCTTTGATTCCTGCCCAGCCCATACATGGCATCTCTGCAAAGCTGTGCAAGTGAATTGTCGAATGCCATATGCAGGCCATCCACACTCAAGCCGTAGAGGATTTTCCTCGCTCCTCTTTGAGAGACGGCGTACGCAAAGGTGCAAATAGGCGCCGCAGACATGTGGACGATCCTCGTCTGCGGCTGGTATTGAGACCAGTCCACGAGCTGTGACACTTGGTTGTATGGCGGGACGGTGTCGTCGTCTTGGATGAAGTACTTGGCTGACATTTGTTCTATACGCTCCGACGGCAATCCAGCGTTCTCCTCCAGGGTCTCTGGGAAAGGTTCACCACAATGGCCTAGCCATAAGACATCCCAGTCATCTCCATATGGGGAGTGAGGCAGCTCTGAAGGCTCTTGCAGAATCTGGCGGGCTCCGCGCGCAACATTGCGGAGCTGAGACTTGAGATGGATGTCCCAATCCATATCATCCTCCATGATAAGAGCTGATCCAGTCTCCTGCTCGACAACTCTATACTCCTCTTAGACAAGACAAAAAACCAAGGTGGTGTATTTCAGAGAACTTACTGTCGAATTGCATTCATATGGCCCCTCCAACTTCCAAGGAAGTTGTCTTGTATGGCAGAGGGATCGATTCCATATGGTACGGCTTTGCTCGGGATGCTGGATGGCTTTACGCCGTCAACCCATTCGATATCAAAGCCAGTCAGCGATGCCATGAGTTCCAACGCATCTCGTTTATCTGATCGCTCCGGTAATCCAATTGCAATGACTTTTTCAAACCCCAGCGTCTTATTAATCACCCGTTCAATGTCCAGTTGAACGGATCTTGTCGGTTCAGGGTCTTCATTTTCGGTGCCAACTATCGATTGGGCGTGTCTGCCCACTTTGTCAACGGGGGCGCTTTTAATGACGATCCTATTGGAGGCGAAGAAGAACTCGTCGATGGCAATGACGGTAACAATATAAGCGATAACAACCACTGGTACCAGAGCCAATAGACGAAGGCGCGGGCGGATGCCGGATAAGCATGCTGAAGCATTCATTCTGCACAGTATCTCTTTCTTGCGAGTGCTTCGATGTGGTGTTGGCTCATGTGGAAGCAAGCCGGAATGCTAGAGAATGTCGCACTACCTTCAAGACTTGTTTGAGGTGTTGTTCCAGACAGAAGATGGAATGGCAAGAGGAGGCTGACATGGCATGGTAATGTTTCTCTTCAGGGGAGAGCTGGGGAGAGTCTTATTGTGGAGGTTGGTGCTCCCTTCGTACCGTGGCTCCGTTTGCGTGTTGGCGTGGGTTGATCCTTATCGAAGGGTTGCGACATTCTCAAGGGATGGCCAAAGGTGGTGTCCTCGCACATGGATATTCACTTGGCGAGATCACCATTTGCGGCCATTCTACGATGAGATGATTGTCTCTTTTTGGTGGTCAGAATAATTGAATTCATAAAGTACAGGTCATCGTCACCTTACAAACGCGCTCCAAATACCGAGGCATGACCTTTTCGCAGCCGAAAGCATCTCCAAATCGCGTACGGAGTAATACTCCGTGATCTGTTTGCCCTTGGTCAACGCAAACCGCTTAGCACGGATCCGGCTCAAGGATGCATTCAAGGGATAGGCAAAATACCAAGTCAGATTGAAAATACAGGTCACAATCCTTAAACTACTCAGTGCCGTATAGAGCGGTTGCTGTGGGGTATTGTTCCCTACACGGTAAGCACCCTCCATCTGCCAGATCTACCCTGAGATTTTCATTGTACACATCTTCTTTTGGCCTAGAGTTACCATCCAGCAGTCTACCATATCCGCTGGAGCAGTGTATATCTATCTACCTTCCAGTGCATCTCTGTTTCCTTCATAACATTCTCCTTTTCCCTGAATAAGAAGTGCTCTCTCTATTGTAAGTTCACAGTGGGTATATCTTTTGCAATCCTGGTCATTGTGTCTATGGCTTGGCAATCTAAACTTGCAGAAGTCGATCCCCCACATGGCTTAGGCCATGTTTGGTGCGCGACATGTGTGGTGTGTGGAGCAAGCCGCGATATCACAATGTACAATACTACCCTGGACTTATGGTGATAGCAGTAATGCCTCATCATTTATCAGTCTGGAGGTGCAATATAAGTACCAGTGAGATACCTGGTACTTACTCTGGTGCTTATATTTTTATGGGTTACATGTACCTTAGTACTGTTACTTGATCTCTCGTAGGATCGGCCCTGGCAAATGCTGTAATCGTCAGGATTTATTGGTTGATAGACTTGGATGATTTCACATTTAGATACATCACAAATTCGGCGTATATCCACCTTACACAAGTACGCATGTTATATATATAATTTCTTCGTAGACCCAGCATAACCTGCTATGTATTTACCTACTTGACATACACGTTTCTGGTTCACTTTGATGGAAATTGAATTGCCAAAGTGCCGCCTCCATCCACCCACTTTTGCAGCTGAAGTGCGCTTACATAACAGCCGATCCAGAGCCAGATTGGTGGGATAGCAGGGCGGATGTAATACTCCGCAGAATAGACGGGCTGCTTAATACGTGCAGAGATATGCCGTAATAGCACCACACCCAGGCCCAGCATTTTCCACTGCAAGTCGCATCGCTGAATCATTTGACGAGTTACATAAATGTCGGTGGTTAGGATTTGCCAAAACCCCAGCTTCTCAGCAGCTGACGTGCCCTTTGCGCCTCCTTCACTCTCTCACAGCGCACTCGCCAAGGGTCGCTTGATCCTCCACCGAACCGACATAACGGCTGTCGCATCTTTATTTACCTACGATTAACGGGCAGCGGTCGCGCACTGCACAGAGATTCGCATAAAATTCACGACGACCACGGAGAACCATATCAGCATCATCTACCACACTCTAGGCCTCGCACACAGCGCCTCAAGCAACTTCCAGGCGACTTCTCCAACACCCCGAGTCTCGTTTCTGCGCCTCACCCCGCGCAACCACGCATGCTGACTGGCGGTCCTACCCCAACTCCAACTGTCAACGAATCGACGGCAAAGTGAAGACTGAAGACTGGGACAACGTATTCGCCCATCCACAAGCAACATTCTCTGTCCGATTCCCCGACGCCGACGATCAGCGACACTCTGGCATCTGGTCAGATGCTGCCGCCATGGAAGGCTTCTACCAGACAAACCCAGAGCTGGACAATCAGCTTTCACATCCCTCCGAGGACCAGCAACCAGGACACCTCCAACCCAATGTCTTAGCCATGCAGGATGCCTCGCTTCCGCCCCAGCTTCAGCAACAGTTGCAGCAGCCACCACCAACACTACCCAACCACATGATTTCCAACCAGACTGTAATTCCGGGCAGTCAAATGGATGGCGTGATGCGCGAGGGACACCATGATATGCAACGACGAAGAAGCATACCCCAGGCCTACGGCACTGCCCTTCCTTCCACCTCGCAGGTTCCTCCAGCTCGACGCATGTCGACTATCGGCCCTCCCAGAGATATGATGGGATTTGATACTGGAGCAGCTGGGTTCGGCAGCTACCAGTTTAATCCGGATATGCCACCCCCCTTCGGCGTGCAAGATCAGATGGGCAGCTACGTGACAGATTCTGGGAGTTTTTCAGGTATCCCCCAGGATATCATGGGCACCATGATGCCGTCTCAATTTGCGAGCATGGACATGGGCGGGATAACGGCTGAGCCTTCTGCCATAGACCTATTCCCTGGCACAAGCGCCTCGGCACCGGACCTTGCTGCTTCAACAATTGCTGGCCAGCTGGATGCCAGTCAACTCGCGCCCGGTGGCGATGGCTTTGTCCTGGCGGGTAACCCTACCGGCGGACTGCTAGGAAGACGCTCAAACAGCGGTCACAAAGGCATGGCGATGGTTCGTGACGAGAATATGATAAATGCCCCCCCTCCACCATTCGCATCCCTCAACGCTAGTCCTTCTCATCCTGGTATCGAATCTGACATGATGGGATTTGGAGCAACCATATCTTCTTCTCTCCCTGGGCCAGTAGCGATCGTCCCAGCGCAGCAAAGCAATGTCTCGATGGATATGGCTCAGCCAGGCTCCGCTAGCCCTACAACTCCGATGCAGGCTTCAAATTCCAGGGATCAGTCCAAAGAAAAGACTATTTACTCTAAGAGTGGTTTCGATATGTTGAAAGCCCTTTGGCTAGTCGCAACTCGGAAAAATCCTAAAATCCACCTTGGCGCCGTCGATATGTCCTGTGCTTTTGTCGTTTGTGATGTCACGATGAATGATTGCCCTATAATTTATGTATCTGATAATTTCCAGAACCTGACTGGGTACAGCCGCCATGAGATCATCGGACAAAACTGTCGCTTCCTTCAAGCGCCCGATGGGAAAGTCGAAGCCGGCTCAAAACGAGAATTTGTTGATGACGGAGCAGTGTTTAATCTCAAAAGGATGATCCAGGAGGGCCGTGAGGTGCAGCAAAGCTTAATCAACTATCGAAAGGGAGGAAAGCCTTTTCTCAACCTCTTGACCATGATACCTATACCATGGGATACCGATGAGATCAAATACTTTATCGGCTTCCAAATCGATCTTGTTGAATGCCCCGATGCCATCTCTGGCCAGGAACTGGGCGGCGTTACAGTCAATTATAAACACAGCGACATTGGCCAATATATATGGACTCCGCCGGTGCCGAATCAGTTGGAGTCTGACAACGGACAGACGCTCGGTGTAGATGACGTCTCTACGCTCCTACAGCAGTTCAACCCAAACGGACTCGTATCGGATTGGCATAAGTCGTCATGGGACAAGATGCTTCTCGAGAATACTGATGATGTGGTTCACGTCATATCACTCAAGGGCCTCTTTCTCTATCTATCGCCTTCCTGCAAACGTGTTCTCGAGTACGATGCCGCCGACCTAGTTGGTAACCCCTTGTCTTCGGTTTGCCATCCTTCGGACATTGTTCCAGTGACACGGGAGCTGAAAGACGCAACGACTGGCAGCCAAGTCAACATTGTTTTCAGGATACGTCGGAAGCAGAGTGGATATACTTGGTTCGAAAGCCACGGATCATTATTCGTCGACCAAGGTAGAGGACGTAAATGCATCATCCTAGTCGGCAGAAAGCGGCCTGTGTTTGCCCTAGGTAGGCGCACTCTGGAAGCGAACGGTGGCATTGGAGATAGCGAGCTCTGGAGCAAATTATCCACATCTGGAATGTTTCTTTCGGTTTCGGCAAATATCAGGTCCCTTTTAGACTTACAGCCTGAGTCACTGGTTGGAACAAGCATTCAAGAGCTGATGCGAAAAGAATCACGAGCCGAGTTTGGGCGTACGATTGAAAAGGCTAGGAAGGGGAAAATATCTACTTGCAAGCATGAAATGCTCAACCGGCGCGGACAAGGACTCCAGGCCCAAACGACTCTATACCCTGGGGACGCCTCTGAGGGCCAAAAACCGTCCTTCGTCCTAGCTCAAACGAAGCTATTGAAAGCATCATCCCGCCACGTTCCATCGACTCTGACCGCAAGCAACGCATTATACGGCTCTAACTCTTTAAGAGGTGATATGCACAGCCAGGGGACCCCCCATGGAGGCCAGATTCTCCAGCCAGCAGTTGGAGCGCTTGTCCCAGGGTCTCAAGACGCAGCTCTGGCGTCCGACGACAACATCTTTGATGAACTTAGAACAACGAAATGCTCAAGCTGGCAGTTTGAGCTGCGGCAGATGGAGAAGATTAATCGAATTTTAGCAGAGGAGTTGGGCGGCTTACTGTCAAACAAGAAAAAACGCAAGAGAAGAAAGGGAGTCGGGAATGTAGTTCGCGATTGCGCCAATTGCCATACCCGCAACACTCCAGAATGGAGAAGGGGACCAAGTGGACAGCGAGATCTGTGTAATAGCTGTGGCTTACGGTGGGCTAAACAGGTGAGAAAGAGTGGCCTTGCTCAACTTGACATAATAGTTTTATTAACATGTGCAATTAGACCGGGCGAGTCTCTCCACGCAATTCTACGCGAGGGGGCCCCAGCGCGAATACTGACTCTCAGAGTAAGAAGTCAACATCTCCAATACATTCTTCGCCGCTACATAGGAGTGAAACACCAAACCAAACACAGAGCAACGGCGAAGGCAACCCAGACCCAGCGCAGCTTGCGAATAAGATTGCTGCGGCGACCGCTGGCATGGGCTCAGGGGCGGGACAACACCCTCCTTCCACCATGCCGCCTCCGAGTCAATCATCTCTGGCTACTGGTGCTATTAGCTCGGGAATGGCATCGATACGGGAAGAGCGCGAAAATAGCCAAACATGAGCAGCTATCTGAGTTCATCTCGCTGATTTGGTTGCCGGATGTAAGAAGAGAGGACTCATACCGAATCAAGCATCCTTTTCTTCTTTTCCCCACAAACCCACAAGAGAGCTGGCTGGTCCTGGCTCTTGCAACTATACTATCACTGGAAACCTTACAAACTATCTTCTAGTCTTCTAACCTCACCCGGTCACAGCATGTGGACAGCGGGATTCTACGGAATGGTGGCTAGCCATGATGAGTGTGAAGCCATTTTCCAAGTCTCTTTGAACAGGAGACACCTTGTCACCTGGTTGATCAATTCTTTGGGAGCGGGGATCTCTTTTTCTTTTTTTCTTTTTTCCTTTTTTTTTCCATTTGGCGGCGGATGCAAACGATACCACCTGTACATACATACTGCCTGTATACTACATATTTTATCCATAGTGATTGTGCGTTGGCTTCAGATCTACGAGCTTAGCAAGTAGTAATGCTCGTATCTCTCTATCTTCAATATCCTCAACGTTACGGACCATATAGACACCAAAATCTTCAGCTACAATAAACGATAATGTATATGAACGCTTTGCGTAACCTAGTGTATAAAGAGATGCTTGTCGGTGTATGTTCACTTTAGAACCTCTAAGAATTCATCTAGTAAAATCACACGAAACTTGTCACGCCACTGAGAGGTCCACTGTCTATCAATCCACCTCTGAGAGAGATTACCTCGCCAGGAGACAACTTCGACATTCCAGCCCATCTTTAGTGCTCGCTCCACATAAGAGAAGAATCCATCAGAGTGCGGAGAAGGCTTAGCATCTCCAGTAGCCAGTACGATGGTACCAGGCGTAAGAAAGTATTCCATCACGGACTCGGCAATGCGGACCTGTAGAGTTTCGTCCACGAGGTCCTCGACAAAACGAAGAGTGTCGGTAGATCCAGTGAAGGTCAATCCACCTTCGAGAACCCCCTTACGCTCTCTTAGATCAACATGATATCCCAGCTCGCGCAGCTGCTGCACATAGCGAGGCTCTGAACGGCCTGGGAGGGTAGAGCAGCAGACATTCAGCGCAACCACCGGCCGATCCCGAACGAGTATTTTGGTCAGAAATTGCAAGTTTAGGTGAGGCACAGGCGATAGACGAGTGTTTTCGTCAAGACGCCGGAATCCCTTCAACGTCCTTTGATACCCAATATCAATATTGGACATGTCGATGAAGACGTGAACGCCTTGCGAAGTGATGGTGGGGTGTTTTTCTGCCAAGGAGGCGTCTCGCACCCGATACGGGACGAGATTCATCATGAGCGCCCTATGTCTGTCGTCCTTCAAGCGTAGCTTGTCACGCACGCTGCCTGGAAGTTTGTTCATCCAAGAGCGAGAATGATGCACGGTATTGGCTGGAGGCGAGCATTCTGGGCATTCGGGAGAAGAAGACGTCAAGAGGTCGGTTTGCCCAGCCCGCCGACGTCCCCGGCCACAGATGCAGCTCTGAGAGGATGGATGCCGACATGCGGATGGCGACAGACCTGGCGGAGAGGATGCTATGCCATAGTTGGAGTCGTTATTATGTTCGTTTGATGTGATATGCTTTATGTCACATGGAAGAGCATGATGGACGGTGCTCGTGCGGAATCGCTTTGCAGGGGGCAACAGCTCAGGGCCATAGTTCGAGGGCGTCGATGACAAGCTGCCGGGCTTCAGGGCTATCTGGGCCGGTGAATAGTCATCATCGTAGTCGCTTCTTTCCAGCAAGTCCAGGCCGGGATCATATCTATGCTGAGGAGAGTCAAGGAACTCGACGAACAGCTTGCTGAAGTCGCCGAGCTTTATCGGTTTCGCAGGGGTATAAGACGAAGAAGAGGCAGCATCATAATTGCTTGACTGGTCAACAGTCTCAATTCGATCTATATAGTGGATATCTGGAGGATCAATCATGGACGTGTAATGCGAGAGGAGTGTATGGGCTTGAGAAATTGAGTGTCATTGAAGAAGAGCAATCCATGGGAGTTGCGTTGGAATGTAAAGTAAGGTACGAGTATTATAAGGAGGGATGCATTATTAGGCATCAATCCCTGGGAGCAGCGGAAATGACGATCGAGACCATACTGCAACCACTTCCAACCAAGAAGCATTACATAAGCGGCTTCAGCCTACGAACTTAGACATGATTTACCAACACTTGGAAGCTTTAGCAACCAAACAAAGGACTATGACTAAATGAAATAATGAGTGCAGTAATTTCTAGTCACGGCGTAAATGTATTCTAAATAAATCAAATAAATCAACAGGTACTGATCAACACTCCCGTGATGCACCCACTGCGCACCTGCTGGTATTCAGAGCAATACTTTGATACGGCACACTCCCGAGCTTCCGTTGCACGGGTCATCGTTTTGGCATGGCCTGGCTGATCAGCTGCATGGGTCAGGCTCAGCTTGTCTACGGGCATGTCCGTCCCTGTAAACACTTTTGACACCCCTAGTGCGGCGGGGTTCGATTCACCTGAGATGCTCTGCCGTCCGCCCGGCTATGGCGTCGCATTGAGAATTTGCCGCAAATGCTGGCAAAAACACACACGGCCATTGGACCATTAAAAAATACGATAAAATAAAACAAAACCGGTTTTATAACTGTAATCCCTGATATTTACTTATTAGGTACTTCGTAGCATCACCAACTGAAGAAGCCTTTCGTCCCACTTTTCTAGTCGCCTATTACGCTGGTATAAAGCCGTCCCTGTACATGTTAACTGGCAGAAGCTGCTACCAAGCAAAAGTAGAGCCCTTGTTTTTCCGATCTATTCTTTCCGCAATTACATCTGCCGAGGATACGATACGTCCAAGGTTTTTTATTCCGCAGCTCGATCTCGATCTTCTCTCCTTGCTCTGAACATCACTCGTTCTGCGCACCAACTCGCCCAACATGCTGTCTCGAAGCATAGCCGTCGTCTCTCGCATGGCGCCCATGCGCCATTTGCGCCCTTCTCCTGTCTTCCGCCAGGGACTTCCCAGCCTTGTCCGGTACTATGCGGACAAGATCATCCAGGTGCCGCCCATGGCTGAGTCCATATCCGAGGGCACTCTCAAGCAGTTCTCCAAATCCATTGGCGACTACGTCGAGCAGGACGAGGAGATTGCCACCATTGAGACCGACAAGGTACGCTTTCCAATGGCCCCTTGACCTTGCAGCATAGCATAGCATAGCATACTCATTCCTTGCGCCTGCAGATCGATGTCGCCGTCAACGCAACAGAAGCTGGTGTTATCAAGGAGTTCTTCGTCAGCGAGGAGGACACCGTGACGGTCGGCCAGGACTTGGTCCGTGTTGAGATTGGCGGCGAGAAGCCTGCAGAGTCAGAGAAGCCCAAGGAGGAATCCGCCCCTTCCCCTTCAGAGTCAAAAGAGTCAAAACCTGCCGCCGAGCCAGAGCAGCCCAAGTCTGAGCCCGCCAAAAGCGAGAAGCCAGCTCCCCCGCCTCAACCCAAGGAGCAGCCCGAGAAGAAGAGCCAGCCCGAACCCGCTGCGGCGTCAAAATCTGAGCCGGCAGCTGGAAACCGCGAGGAGCGTCGGGTAAGCTTCTCTCCTTTGAATTGTCTTGAAGCCATACACCCTGGCCCGTCTAACTCGATGTAACTCAGGTCAAAATGAACCGTATGCGACTCCGTATCGCCGAGCGTCTCAAGCAGTCTCAGAACACCGCAGCATCACTGACGACATTCAACGAGGTCGACATGTCCAACATTATGGAGTTCCGAAAACTCTACAAGGATGAGATGCTGAAGAAGACTGGCGTGAAGCTGGGCTTCATGAGCGCCTTCTCCCGCGCTGCTGTGTTGGCGATGCGAGACATCCCCGCAGTCAATGCATCCATCGAGGGCCCCAATGGTGGCGACACCATTGTCTACCGCGACTATGTCGACATCAGCGTTGCCGTTGCTACGGAGAAGGGTCTGGTTACCCCCGTTGTGCGAAATGTTGAGTCACTGGATATGATCAGCATCGAGAAGGCTATTGCCGATATGGGCAAGAAGGTTGGTAGCAGTATCCTCACATAGTATTACACCTAGGCGGCATTACTAACTACTGTCCAGGCTCGCGATGGCAAGCTCACGATTGAGGATATGGCTGGTGGAACCTTCACCATCAGCAACGGCGGCGTGTTTGGATCTCTCATGGGCACCCCGATTATCAACCTGCCTCAAAGCGCCGTCCTGGGTCTCCACGCCATCAAGGATCGCGCCGTGGCGGTTAATGGAAAGGTGGAGGTTCGGCCAATGATGTACTTGGCCCTGACGTATGACCACCGTCTTCTTGACGGAAGGGAAGCCGTCCAGTTCCTGGTCAAGATCAAAGAGTACATCGAGGATCCCAGGAAAATGCTACTATAGGAGCTTTCACAAGCACAGTTATACATGACACGTGGTTAGGTGACTTTACTTTTCCTCTGATATCTACGGTTGCTTGTCCTCGGTGTTATTTTGTTGCTATAGAATGTACAATTATATAGCTTGCTTTTTAAATAAAGTATAAGCTTAATACTGTTAATACTTTATTATTTTTTCTTCTGAAAAAACATATTCTTTATACAAGGAAAATTCAAGCCATGGAGTTCAATGATGTACTACGGTGTAGAGCTACATTATATTGTATGTTTGTTGTATATAAAGCCAGTTTAGAAAATAATTTTATTCTATATATTTAATATGATCAAATGAAGTTTACAAAATATGAACAATTAAATTACATTAAGAATACTAAGCAATCTTCAAGATGTTTCATTCTAGAGTATACTTTTATTATAGGCGATCTAGGCTGGTATGTACTTCTATGTGGAGCGTCATGTGTACTAAAAATACCCGAGTGTGGCCATTAGACTTTCGGTCCCGTAGTTTAGGCAGAAGGGCGGTCCTATGACATAGCTGGTCAACCGCGGGCACATGCGTGCAGTGACAACATCACCTATCAAACGTCACCTCCCGTTATCCAATCTTACCATTAGCTATGGACTCTAATATAAGCGTTGACTTTGGACGATATCATCGGAAAATCATGCAAATGATCTGGGACCCTGAGCCATCCAACGATGTGAACAGCGACGAACCTGTTTGGTGTCTGGGCCGCTCTTACAAGCTAGACGACTCCAAGCGTGCGAGCTCCAGAACAGTAGAAAAGGCGACGAGGTCTGTTGGCAGCGACGCACCAGAGGCCGGCGGCGCATCAGAAGCTGTTCGGGCCTCGTCTTCGACGCAAAGCCCTCCGTCCGTATCAAAACCGCCTGCAAATGCGCCAGAGACATCGCCGGCGGGCGAGGAGCTGCCGCTGGAAAACGGATGGCCTCCGGGATTCTTGGAAGACATGGCTTCAAAGTTCTGGATGACGTACAGATCGGGATTTGATCCTATACCCAAGTCCGTTGATCCGAGGGCGACCTCTGCGCTTTCGTTTACCGTAAGGATCAAGAGCACGCTCTCAGATCCTACTGGCTTCTCTTCCGATAGTGGTTGGGGCTGTATGATTCGTTCGGGCCAGAGCCTTCTAGCTACAACTATTGGGACTCTGCAGTTAGGACGAGGTATGTTTCTCCCTTCTCCTCTAGTCCGGCACCCTCTTTGAGAGGCCTAACCGAAACCCTTCAAGACTGGCGACGCGGCAAAAGCCAACAAGAGGAGCGACAGCTCATCAGCATGTTTGCCGACGATCCAAGGGCGCCGTTTTCAATCCACAACTTCGTACGCCATGGGGCCACTGCCTGTGGGAAATTCCCTGGCGAGTGGTTTGGCCCATCTGCCACTGCTCAGTGCATTCAGTATGCCCAACTTCCGCGACAAGCTTTCAATAGATCACATGGCTAACACACGAGACACAGGGCCCTCACAAGCTCTTCAGGACTTCCTCTGAAGGTATACTCGCCGAACGACGGACAGGATGTTTACGAAGATGGTTTCATGAAGATTGCGAAGCCTGAAGGGCAATATTTCCACCCGACCTTGATCCTCATACGGACGCGGCTCGGTATTGACAAAATCACGCCGATATATTGGGAACCTCTAATCGCTGCGCTGCAGATGCCGCAGTCAGTTGGTATTGCTGGGTAAGTTGCACTATTGACACAGTAAACGGCTGCAGCTAATCCCTTTCTTCAGTGGCCGCCCTTCCTCGTCTCATTACTTCGTGGGCAGCCAAGGTAGCTACCTGTTTTATCTCGACCCTCATCACACCAGAAAAGCGATCCCCTACCACGCCGACGTGACCAAGTACACGGAAGAAGATATCGATTCGTGCCATACCTCCAGGCTACGCCGACTTGATGTGAAAGAGATGGACCCGAGTATGCTGATAGGCTTCCTTATTCGTACTGAGAGTGACTGGTCCGATTGGAGACAACGTGTAGAAAACGTCCAGGGCAAATCCATCATTCACGTGGCGGACCATGAGCCTACGCTTTACAGTAGCGAAGGCAGGGATGGTGCCGTGGATGAAGTCGAGATACTGAGTGATGACGACGATGACGATGTGACGACAACATGAGAGGTATCATCGAGAGCCGCTCCTAACAAGGTGTTCCATCGAAGACGGATTCATGTCTTTGAGACTTTCTACAGCAACCGGAATCTGCTGTCATGACGCTCTACCCCCTAACGTCGTGTGCTGGCATACCGGCCGGCAGCGTGAAATAGAAGCCCTCCCTAATCTCGCGAATACGGCATTTTAGACAATCGGGTCTTTATTATACCTTTTTACCATTTCCGGCACCGCCAGGCTGGACAGTGGAGGCAGCATGGCCTAAATCACGGATATGTTTAAATAGCTTCGTTTTAGAGTCAAACTCAGCTGTGCAGATATTGCATCGATGCTGTGTCAAGTTGGTTAGCACGCCTTGGGATTTGCCAAATTAATATGATATGATAAATACCTCGTTTTCGGTTGCCGCAGCAGCAGCCGCTTTTTTCTGGCGTTTGAGCTTTGCTTTTCCAATTTTGATTTTTGGTTTCGTATCATCAGCGGAGACCTTCTGTGGCTGTTTGGATGAATTGCCCTGCACTCCCTCATCGTGATTGTCATGAGCCGATCGGTCACTCGTCGACTTGACATTTAGCTTGTGAAATGACTGATTAAGTTCCTCCTCTTCACTGTGGCTTTCACTCTGGTCCGCTTCTGGTGTATTCTGATCTGGTGATGCTCCATTTCCAGTGGCTGTGTCATGCTGGCCCTCATGCAGAGGCTCAGCATTCACTACGTCCTCATTCGCTTCATAGTCCTCTTCATCCACTCTTGCAGTTCGTAGTTCCTGGTCTTCGCTCAAAGATACTTCGGGTACATCGACCGTTGTTGCGTCCAAATCCAAGTTTGCCGTTTCTTTTTTCATCTGTCGACGTAGATCTTGAACGGCCTTGATGTGTTTCTTGCTGCGCTCATGGGATTCAAATTGCTTTTCGCTCTTGAATCGTTTGTTACACGCCACACATTCCAGAATCTCCGTTTCAACTTCAGACTCTTCAGACTCTGAAGGTTGGTGCTGCCCATTTTCATCCTCCCTGGAGTGAACCCAGTCTGGCACGTCAAATGCGGAGTAGGTTTCCTTATTCGCTGCACGAGACCGGGCAGCTTGCGCAGCAGCAGCGGTCCGAAGGGACTTGTGGCGATCTGCCTCACTTTGAGTGTTTGGAATATAGCGAGGATCCCGCTTCCTGACAAAGGAGACTAGAAACCGAACAGCGTCGGTAAACTCTCGAATAGCATCGTCTCGTAGCTTTTTGTTTTCCTTCTCCATCCAACGCCTAGTCCTGCGATCTGGGGCGTCTGAGAGGCGATATTTGTCTTGCCACATAAATGATTTCTTCGTAGCGAATCCAGTCCAGATGGCGTAAAAGGATTTCACTGTAGGATCGTAATCACTGTCGGATGAGCCAAACGTCGGATACTCAGGACATTCAACACCCTCGTAGTCAGCAGCAGCTTCCTCCTCTTGAGCGAGATGCTCAAATGTCTCTCTCGTTATTGAGTAGAAGCCGTTAACATCATCAGTATATGGAATGGTGGAGTTGAATCGTGATATGAGACGCATAATATCGTCTGCAGTAGTGAGATGAACATTATGGAAAGTTGGAGGCGCAGATGCATCATTGGAGTCATGTTGACCACTCAAAATGCTCTCGCGGTGCGAGTCATACCAGGCTCTTTCCTGGGGGTCAGACAAAATGTCATATGCAGCCTGAACTTCTGCAAACTTTTCCGTGGCCGCTTCAACGTTGTTGAAGTTGCGATCTGGATGCAACTCCAAAGCCTTTTTGCGATATGCCTTCTTGATTCTACACAAGTTCAATCAATATGCGAAAGTTGAGAGATGTTTAATCAGAATGGCTTACTCAATGTCAGTCGCAGTCCTTTCGACTTCTAAGAGTTCATAGTAGCATGTTCTTTGGCTGGTCCCAGTGTCGGCACGGCGCGATTCCGAATTTGAGGACTGTTCAGCCCCCATGATGATTCACAGTATCAGGACAGTAAATGGTGTAAAAAATGTCTTGGTAAGTGTGAGAAGATGGAAGATTTACTTTCGTCTCCTTAGGAAGGATATGAATTTCTTGCAGGATCTAAGGTGGGCGGGAACCTATTTATTATATATCTACATATGATGAGAGTATCAAGCAGTTGCCTAGTAATAATACTTCGGGATTGACTCATATGTTGAAAAATTACATAATCAGAATATTTTATCAATGAAAAGAATTCAATTTTCACGGGAGATTTGGCTACTAAGCTAAGCAAATCCAAGCAGGCTATCCAGCATCCCGTAGCTTAATTTTCACAGTCCTCAATAATCTCGGATATCAATACAGTTGTAACAGTAGTAGGTACTTGATGAACCAGGCAAGTTACCTGGTATCTTAGGTAAGAAGATCCAGGAGGCGTCTTTAGTACCTGCTTGTACTTTTTTTTGTATCTCGCCATGAACATGACCCATTTCGCAGAAATTCCAAAGACCTGACTGAGGTTTTGTTTGGCTTAGTGGGGGTTTCACCTGCTTAGCTCCCTACGTCACCTAAACTTCGCGTCCGAACAATTTACTACTTTTTATATCGACTGTTTACGCAGATAATTGATGATCAAGATGGTGCCACCAGCTGCCCCAGACGCATATCCGAGCAGCGCCAAACCTCCCAATTCGCGATCATGGACATCTCGACCGACCACACCGCTTCGCCCACCTTCGCAGTCGTCTTTCCGTGGATCTCTGCAACCTTCAGGCGACGGAGATGGCGCGTTTCCTCTCAAGAGATTAGAGCCAGCATTTGCAGAGCTGTCTGATGCCATGGCTGATCTGGAGGCAAACATGATGCATTTTCAACTTATAGACGAGAGTTTGGCTAGATTTGGCGAATCGTTCGCGAGTTTTCTTTACGGCCTAAATATGAACGCTTTTTGCGTCGACTTCCCAGAGGTGCTACTGCTCCCGAATGCCTTGTCCTATTCCATGTAACACCTGTCTGATCCATCTTCTCTCTCGTATCTAGACCCCCATACTTCAGTCGTTCCGTCGAGACCGCCAACCCAGCACTGAATTGCGACCAGCACACGACGCAGAGGCAACTTATATGTAAGCGTTGTTCTCAAGGGCCTAACACCCGGACAAATTGCATCGATCTGCTAACGGCGGCGAAAGGACGACCGATATATCCTTTGTGGAAAGCCCCCCACAATCGACAAGGCCTAATCCGAAGCAAAAAGGACCTGAACAACGCCAATCGCGTTTACCATCTGCACGAGGTAGCTCAACAAGAGGCAGACCAACCACCAGTCGCTCATCTAGCCGGCCTAGTGGTATTGTGCGGCCGCGAGGACGGGCTCTGAGGTAGAAAAGGTCTTCGATAAAATCTCGTGCTGTTTCATAGCGTCTTGTTTTCATATACCGTGGCATTAATAGCCGTCTTGTAAAGGTCCGGCGTCAAATTAGAGAACCATTTCAACGCCGCCCTCAGCTGCAGGTTCCTGCTCCATGTCCATCTTATTCATGTGTGCTTGTCCAGATTTCGACTCGATCGCAGATTCTTCTCGCAGTTGTTTTAACCTAGCCGACCCGTCAGTTAAATCAACAAGAGGCACTAGAAATCATCCACATGCAAAGAGACGCACCTCCGCTTGTGTGGCTTCCCTCGCTCGTGAGTAGCTAGGGTTGCGGGAGTGTCGAACCACCTGGAACAAGTTACACAGTAATTTTTCCCAAGCCCTGGCAGATCTTGTGTTAATTTAGTGTCTTTGTATTGCGCAAGGTGCTTCTTAGATCGAAGGTCAGATATGACCTGATCCACGTCGCTATTCAAAGGTCAGCTTTAGGAAACCAGCATAATAGTAGAACCGCCATACCGCGTCTTGCGCCTCGTCTTTGTGAGCGTGCGCTTGTTTCCAACCCCCATTGTGATTGAGCTGTGTGCCAAACTGAAGTTCAAAGACTGCGCCGGCAGCGACTAGACTTTTTTTTTTTAAGCAGCGTCACTTATCGTTACATGCGATAAGGACGTAGCGTTCAGATTTTTCACTGAACCCGTGTATCCTTCGTGTGTATTATAATAAATAAGACGGCGATCAAAAGTTATATATCATCAATAATAGCATTCATGGATTTTCTTTTTAATTTTTTTTTTTTTAGTTCATGTTATTTTTATTTGTTCTGTCGTCTCATGAGGAGAATGTAAAAATAAAATGAAACTAAACCGTAAACCGTAAATTACTAATAGCCAAAGCCTCAAGTGTCTTCGTTGCCTCTTAGCGCCATAATGTTTTGGTTGTAAAAACAAGTCATGGCGCCAAAATGGGATTCCTTGTTTGACTTTGAGCTGCTAGGCAAAACGGGATGTTGTATCAACGTCAAGCCCAAGATGTATTCGATCAGCAAGCTAATCTACTCCCCTTGGTCAAATTTATAGGATATCCCATGCATCCTCAGCCGCATGGCAGAACTTGCTGCACGCTACACTTGCTGAAAGCGAGAAATTGCTGATAGAAATCTTCTCGTCGACTATTGAGTCGGCAAAAGTATCGGCACCCTTCGCCATAGCTCCAACGAAAACGCAAATGCTCTCCTTGGGATTTAGAGACTCCATGTACTCACGTACGCGAACTACTGGAGCATCAAAACTAAGAGTTACTTTTCGACAATTTGATGGCAAGTGATCCGTAATCGGATTCTGAATCACACGTAAAAGCTTCTCGTTGGAAGTCGTGGAGCGAATTGAAAGCCGGTGCAAGAGCTGTACCATGAGGCCTGCAAATCGCTTGAAAGTCCGGGGGATACGGACAGAAGGGGATACCTCAATGAGCACACCTTTAGCTGTATGGATGTAAATTTGAAGTCGGCCGGCTTTGTTGATTGGTGAGTCCAAGAGAGTCAGTAGGCACTACCATCATTAGTATCGTGCTTCCAACATCTATGGGCCCGAATACGCAACCTGATGCGCGATGTCTGGTCGTGCATCGCTTATGTCGCGGTTCATCTTCCGCATAACACCTATATGCTCATCGCTGTTGAGAAGCGAATACTTCTCCTCTCGGTGGAGGCCGGCACGGTTGACGCCTCCCTGAACTGCCTTGTATGTCTCCAAGCTGGCATTCGAGAGTACGACAATCAGTCGCTGGGAATCTTTGTCAGTGAGCGGGATGGGAGTCTTCTGCTCAGCGACCAGTTGAGGTAGAGACGGTGGTGGCAGAGACTGCGTTCCTGCAGAAGAAGAAAATGCCATGATTAGCCACTCGCTCATGAAGGTGACAAGCAGTGGAAGGAATGATAATTACTAGGCCGTTTCATGCCAGCGCGAGGATCGGGGGACGACATTGCCTAGATATATGAAGGCCAGAAACAATCCAAAAAAAAAGAGGGGGAGGGAAAAAAAAGAAGGCTGGGATAATTGACACTTGGAACGAATTGCGATGGGAAATTGTGAGCAGGGCGACTAGAAAAGACTTCGTGATGCTAGTAGATTTGTGCCAAGCCGTCGGAGTACAATCAGTTGGGTAGTTATCAAGATAAGCAAAACTACCCAATAGTAAGATTAAAAGGGTTAAATGAATAAAATTCTATAATAACATATTGAAAGGTTATCGGGATTAATCTACTAATTTGTTAACTTAGACGAAATATATTTACTTTCAGTTTATTCTTCATAGTCTTACTGAAAACGTTTATTTCTTTATTTAATTCATACATTGCTAAATGTTCACTGGTGCTGCTTTGACTAATTGATTGAAGGACCGTTCCTAGTTTTTGAAATGCCTGCTTGAAAATTCACGCTCCCAGTGTCTAGTAAAAGATTGGTCTTGTTTGTATAAAATACCAGTGCTTCCGTCATCAGGTATACTATTGTTACTCTTCCTCTTTATTAAGACACATTCAGTCCTTCTCTCATATTATTTACTCTACCCGTACTATATATCTTGGCAAATTTCCGCTTAGTGTTTCCAACCTTCCAAGCGCGCCAGCAGTACCTTAGGAGTAGCTGTATTGTTTTTTTATTTGCTCGCTAGTTTTTAACCTGCGCGAATCTCTCGAATGAACCTTGGCTGTCTAGTGACCAGAACACTCCTAGCTGAAATATCCCATGATAGTTCGCTGTGACTCTGGAGAGAATTGCTGAAGCAGTGGCATTGGGTCTACATTTGCAGCAGTTAGAAGACTTTTTGTCGCGGCAGCTACACGGCTAGCCGTTTGCCCCTGAAGTGTTTCTGCTTCCAGAGCCTGTGCAATGAATACAAAAACCTTGCCAGCTTGGTTCATTACGGATGGGTATTGACTGCAAATTTGAATTAGCCACATGCCCTCGTTTCTATCATTCTTTACTCATTGGGTAAATGCTATGCAACTCACCGATCGATCAGCTCTGCTAGATATGCATAGGCATACGGTGCCGCTTCTTCATCGTTGGTTACTGGTAATGTGTCGATCCACCGCGTTATTATTGTGTTAACATCATCAACGTTGCCGGAGTTGTAATGGAGAATCTTGGCAATGGCAGCTGAGGCATTTTCTGTGGCATAAACGTTGTCTTCGTTCCGCGCATCGGGAACCTGGGTGACTTGAAACAGGAACGGCACTGATCCGCCCAGGAAGGGGGACCACGCAGCGCCGCCTCTATGTGCTGCAACTCCAATACCGTACGCAGCTGCTTGACGGATCGCTGCAGAGGCATCCTGGCAGCCATCAATAAGGGGCTGCTGAATGTACGTCGCATATCGAATACTTTGGGGGCCACAGTACTCCAAAACATCGTCCATGATGCAGAGACCCCATTGTCGCTGCGTTGGATCAGGTGACGAAAGAAATCCTTCATAAGTAGACATGAGGCGCTCCCAAGCGGGCAGAAATGAAACGCCGTGGTTCTTGAAGATAGAGTGAAATGCTTTGTTCATATCAGAGAGAAGCGTTTGGTCATCTTCGATCGCTATCAGGGTCTCCTCTGCTTCGTCCTCCACGTCATCAGCAGTGGCCCCCTCCTTAGCATCAGCACGCTCTGCCACCCGGTCTTTATAATCCTCCAGTGCAGAGAGCGAGGAGTCGATAAATCGGTTCATATGGTCTATCGTAAGACACTCTTTGCCCAGGACTTGCACAGACTCGTAGAAACACTGATACATCTCCGCAAGTGTATCAATTCCTGGTTCAGCCGTGAGTACCTCCAATAGCTTATCCACGGTCGCATTCCACAGGCCAGTTAGCTCGTTTGAAGGGCAACCGTAAGCCTTTTTATACGAGCTGAGCAGCTGCGGAACAAGCTTGGCCGAGATATAACGGACAGGATCGTGAAAGAAGAACGAAAGACCGGGTAGGGCAATCTTCTCCATGATATTTGCAACGAATGGTGCAAAAGCAGCTTCGAGCACCTGAGCATAGACAACCAAGAGCTCAATAGCCATATTCTTGTCATCCATGGTACTAGTGCGAATGCCAATCATTTTGCCCTTGAGTGGAACAAACTCCCAGCCCTCTTCGCCTTGCATTTGCTCTGCTTGCTCATCATCGTCCAACAGCTGGATATCCGGCTTGGCCATGGCAAGTTCAAGAAGTGGTGGCATAACATTCTCAAGGAAAGGAATGAAATCAGTACCAAGAACGCGGCACATACGACCCCAGCAATGCATAAGATATTGTGCCTGCGGATCATCTGCGTCCGTGATATTTGTCTGGATGTGAGCTAGGAGATTCACAAGAGTCATGGCATCCTGGCCAAGTCGCTCTTTTCCAACAGCAAGGGCAATAAGAGTTGCACACTCCATTGCTTTGGCCCGTAGTAGCCTATACTCCTTCTCACTCTGAGTCTGAAGAACATTGACGAGAAGAGGCATTAGGGTATCGTAGTATTTTGCAAATGCCGCTTCGGCCGCGTCGGCTATAGTTGCGATTGTGGATAATGCCTGCTCCTGAACAAATCGTTTCTCGCTTTGAAGCAGTTGAAACAAGTGTGATAAGAGCTCATCAAGGTAGGGTTCCAGTATGGACTTTTCCGCTTCCTCACAAAAGTTTACCAGGGCTGCAGCCGCATGAGATTTTACACGAGCCTCTGGCGAGTTGAGGACAGGAATAATGGCTTTCAAAATCCGGTCATAGAAATCGGTTTGCATTTTGGGCGCAAAATCAGTACTCATTTGCCCCAAAGCGTTGCAGCCAGCCCATCGCACACGAGGATGTGGATCTTGGAGAGCTGGGATCACCAAGTCAAGAACTTGGCTAAGCTCTCCGATCATGAGATCCCGGCAGCCCTCCGAAATGGCAGAAATCGCCATGAGTGCAGCATGTCGATCTCTCCAAGCCATGGACGTCATCATTCGCGGAAGCCAGTTGAAGGTGGGAGCAAGAATTGTCTGGCCCCCCAGCTTATTAGCCAGGCGATCCATAGTTTGTTCTCCAGCAACATGGTTCTGATCGCTCTCATCTGCCTCAAGCTGTGGAATACAATTAGTAAATTGCCCCTATGGTTGAATCATCTCTATCGATTACTCACATCATCAGACGCCAGCCATTCGGTAGCATCGTCATCATCTTCGCCAAGATCAGTCATCAAACTCAGGCACTGAGTGATCATATCGGTCGTGTAAGACGCATCCTTTCGGCACATCGATGGGGCATAATCAGCGAAGGTAGCCATTAATTCCAATGCATTCTGTCGGCAAATAGTATCCAGTTCTTTGTCTTGGACTACCGAGATGCTGAACTGGACCAAGTTGTGGAAGAGAGGTTTGAACATTTTCGGTGCCGTCTCCGCCAGGTCAATGAGGGCCACGAGAGCTTTGCTCAAGTCATCCGAGTCTTGGCTGTCCTTGATAGGGGGGAGAATATTGAGCACATCGGGAATGAGAGCATAGTACTTGGATTGGCCTTTCTTGCTGATCGTCCTGAAGAAAGATGCAAAAGCATCCATAGCGGCCAATCGGACCTAAGTAAAACAGTGGTCAGAAGCTGCCTCCATCATGCGAACGAATTTCTGTACCTGTACTGCGTCATCTTTGAATCCTCTTTGGAAGGCCTGCAGAACGGCTTCCTCGTGTTGCTTCTCGATGATTCCGGGAGTCGTAGCAAAAACTCTGTATGCGGTCTCGCGCTTTTCAGCTTCTAGTGCCTGGCTTAACTGGAAGAGCGCTCCCAGAAGTTCCGGCCAAGAATCATCTACAAAAAAAATATGAGTTAGTATCAAGTGAGAAGCGTGCCAAGGATCGGATAAGACGCAGTGCTGGCTATGGAGACTGACTATTATCTGTGTATTGCCGCGCGACCTCAGCGACGGCATCGCTAATTTTGTTTCGAACTGCTCGATCGGTCTCAGAGCCTAGGGTCTCGAGTAGTTTCTGGCGAATGACGATGGCTTGATCCTTTACTAGCGAATAAAACATATCCACGTTGTTCCCAGTGTCGGTTTTCCGGGTTTTTGAAGAAATCCGTCTGAATATGACGGCAGCGAAAGATCGAATCTACATAAATACGTTAGGGAGCAGCCCATACACCAACCATTCGGAAGTCGTAAACCTCGTGGGAGTGAAGCATACCGCTTTATCTGCACTAGCTTGTATCTGCTCCGCAAGTCCCATTAAAAGGACTTCTGGACGCGAGTTTGTCCAGCTGTTCTGGAGATGCTCCTCAGCTTGAGATCGGATGCCATTGTCGGAAGCCTGAAGTGCCTGCAAAAGCTGCGTGAGCTCTGCATGTATGTCTGGGGATAGAAGGGACATGATTGCGACGGCTAACGGACGAGAACGCCGCGCAGCTATGCCTGCGAAATTGTTTGAACAATCAAGTCAAGAGGTAAAGACTCTTTATCGCGGCTCAGTTAGCGGCTGGACAAAAAAGAAAAGTAGGCAATACAGAAATCGAGGGTTCTGTGGTGGGCGTAACAGAGCAAGGTGGGGGAGGGGAAGGGTGTGTGGTATGTCTTGGGCGTGTGCTGAAAAAATTAAACTGCGATAGTGCCTATCTAATCAGTTGAAACTATGCCGAGTATCTGGTAGGTACTTCGAGCCGATAAGTACATGTTCACATCAAAATTCGTGAGATAAATCAATTGCCGGCGTTGAAACCCGTAAAAAATTTATAACATCTAATAGCGTTAGCATAATCTTTGAGTAAACCAAATATTTCCCTGGCATGTATCTCGTGGTAAAGAATTCAAGGTGCTTTCGGTCTCATGAAGATACCCGAGATTGAGCCACCTACCTAAAAGTACCTACCTAAGATCGCAAAAAAGAATGGAGCAATGGAGCTACCGAGGAAGCCTCTTACAGTATTGCGACGTGCTGAATACCACCACAGGTACTGCTAAGGTCGGCCGTAGTGAGGTGAGAGGAGTACATCCTCTCTGGATCACCTACAAGTTGCTTCGCTTGCGCATACGCCATACACTCACTCTTCGATCAACTTTTACCCACTTGCTGTTCTCTCCATGAAATCCTGTTAATATGTAACGGATAAGGACGCAACAACAGCAGGATTTAATATGTCTTTCAATACCGATTCAGATATTCCCTCCAAGTTACCTGAGGCAAAGGCCTCGCCGTCGCCACACAGGTCGCCTTCGAGCTCGAGCACCAGCAAGGCTTCCCATCGACAAAGCTTCACTGAAGGATTCCGCAATCCTCCACCTTCGCCCCGCCATCGACACCCCTCTCTGACCCAAGCTGCAATCCAAGACCTTCTCATTCACCCTCCTTCCACCAACAAACACCAAAACCCCAAGTTTGTCGGGCGGGAATGGAGAGACATCACCATAGGAGAGCTTATTACAGCTGAGGATGTAAACTGGATTGAAATCGGAGGTAGCGTGGAGGAAGCCACATTGGTAAATGCGACCCATTGAATTCGCATGGTTGTTCTGTCCATACTTACGCCATTATCAGATGCTCCTCCAGAGTTCAACCGGCGTTGTTCTCGTCAGAGACGAAGCTTCTGCTACATCGCCAACATTCTGTTTTGATTATAACGATCTGAATGCCTACCTCCTCACCGTTGTGGGTGTTTCTCGGCCTGAGAGCGATCAAGCCACGCTTTTTCATGACATCATGACCAAGGCTCAAGGAGGAGCTCGTATATCACTTCGCGAGATCCAGACCTTGTGTTCAAGAGAAGCCATCGTCAAATTGAACTCAGGTGTGAATCTAGCTCAAGCTATAGAAAAGCTTGGTAGCGGAATACACAGAATCTTGGTTACTGAACAAGCTGGGAATGTTATTGGGATTATAAGCCAACTTCGCATGGTGGAGTTCTTCTGGAACGAAGGGATCAATTTTCCCACCATTGACCGACTTAATCCAGTCACACTACAAGAGTTAGGAATTGGAGTGCGGCCGATAATCTCAGTCCAGTGAGTACACTCAATGCCAATAGTAATGCACTACATACTCAGGAATTCGAACTGACAAGCCCTTAGCGCCGACGCTCCTCTTACTGAAGCTTTATCACTCATGTATGATGAGGGCCTTTCAAGCGTAGCTATTGTAGACAACGGACAAAATGTGGTGGGCAACATCTCAACAAAGGATGTGCGGCATTTGACAAGCTCCTCGAGTGCATATTTGCTTGGTAACTCTTGTATGCACTTCATTTCCATCATTCTAAACGAAAAAGGGGTGGAAAAGGGACAAGATGTCTATCCCGTTTTCTACGTAAACCCTTCCTCAACATTGGCACATACCGTAGCCAAATTGGTGGCAACAAAATCGCATCGGATGTGGATTGTGGATGCAGGACCACAATCGTCACCTATGTCAACGCCTACGACACCAATGACCACATCACAGACTTCTATATCAGCGGGGACAGTTCCAGGACCGATTGCATCTGCTGTGCCTGCAGTCACAGTTCCGGCAGCTTCGATGGCCGGGGCTCTGTTGTCAGGCAAACTAATCGGAGTGGTCTCGCTAACAGATATTCTCAACATATTTGCCAAATCTACAGGATTGCACCCCTCTGAGCCATGGGAACAGAGAGTACGCCGCCGACGCAGCTCGAGCAGCTCCGTACGGCCCAGCGTAGAGTCTTTACGGTCCAGCGTGGAAACAAGGAGGTAACGTATTGTGATATTCGAGTTTAATTCGTGGAAAACTTTTGAGGCTGTTCTTGACACAGGCGTTGCACAAATGTTCATACTCCTTGATAATGCTAAATACGATGTAATTCATGAAGAGTGAAGCATGTACTTTGAGAGTTAATTAATATATTATGGTAGCAAGTATATTGGTTTGAATTCATTATGTGTTCAGATTCAAGAGAGGAGCACGCGGATATCAGCCGATGTCCTTGAGAATCTTAAGTCCCCAAGTGGACTGGATACGTCCTCATCGCCGCTCTGCCTTTCAATAGCCTCTTCCAATCTCTCGAAATCAGTGCAGAATTTTTCAGCTGCCTGTTCTACAATAGCCCGAGCTATTTCTGAATCTTGTAGCCCCTTCAGCCTGTCCATTGCGTCCATCAATGCGGAAGGAAGAAAATCGTCGAGCTCCTGGCTTGCTTGAATAACAGAAGCTTGATCTATCTCAGCAAGTTTACCGTTATCTAAGAAGTTTAGCAGGGTATCCAAACCCGATTTCTGGCGAAAAGTGATATGCTGGTTATCAACCAAGTTCAGGACGTCCCTTGAAATATCTTCTCGAATCTGACTCGCTCGGGAAATTGTACTTTCAAAGCTGTCAAGACAAAGAGCCGCCGCAAGTTTGCAGTTGACAAGGAATATTCCGCCCTCGGGATACGTCATAGGCTTTGCTATCTCCTCGCAGCCAGACATGAATGGATCAAAAGCCTGTGACAATATGCTCTGTGCCTCGCTGCCAGAATCTGCAGACGCAGATAAGGAGGATTCGTAAGTCTGCAGAATGGTACCAAGCTGCTTAAAGGCATCTTGAAGAAATCGTGGTGGTTCTAGGTTCGAAGGGACTTGCTGGAACTCTCCTTGGATGGAGAGAATATTATCTCTGACGAGGGATCGGAACTGTCTCTTGGCTTCTTTCTCAAGACCTCCTGTACAATCTTCTAAGCCCGATCCTGAACCCAGAAGCTTTTCAAAGGTAGCTCTGTAGAAATTGAGAAGCGTAGAGATCTTGTAGGCAGGAATGACATCCTCGTTGGATTGTACTGCCTGCTCGACCCGTTGGCGTAGTATTCGAACAACAGGCGAGAAACTACGATCCATTAGGTGGTTGAGGGCTTCGAGAACTTTGAAATCGGTGCCTTGCGAGGCCTCATCCGAGGGTAGAGTCCAGAGATTTGCATTTAGACTTGTAGTTGACGTTTTGAATACATCATCCTTGTCGACCACAAAAAGAGTCTCAAGCGCTTCTCTCTCGCCCACCGTGGCAGAATGAACCCAAGCAAACATATCGCCGACATAGCGGAGAGGATCATGTGCTGTTAGATCAATAGGCCTAGTAGTTGTATCTTCGGTCCCTTGTGGTGTAATGCCTGTAAGGGCACAGTGAAAAGCTTCTGATAGAAATCGTTCTCTGGATGCTGAAAAAAAGTCCAGACAATTCTGAAACAGAGAAGGCCTTTCTGCAAGGACTCGTAAAGCCTGTCGCATGCAAGGATTCACATTGGGATTTTCTAAATTCAGTGTCCTGAATTCTTGCTGAACCCACTTGTAAAGCTTTTGGAAAGCCATATTTATATGCACAGACGTCCGGTCGATCAATTCTAAGCCGAGAGTTTGGTTTTCAAATCCAAGTAGAATGTCGCAACCAAGAGTAATATTCTTTGCCTTTTGTAGATTGGTGAAAAATGCATTGTCAACTGGTCTGATAGTTGAAGTAAGAGAGTCAATCTCGTCCTCTGTCATAACGAAATAACGTTCAACTGCACTGAGAGTCTCTTGCTTCCTCTCGATTTCCATGCGCTGCTCGAAAAGGGACGACATTCCTTGCAATGCCGGTGCGGTTCGATCATGAGCCAAATCGATTTGGCATTTTATATCCTCGATCCTAGAGTTCAATCTATCCACTACTCCTCGGACGAGTTTCAGTCGCTGCTTGGGTTACTACCACAGTATACTGTTGGGAATGGGTAGGGTCTAACGTACCTCTGCAACAGCGCCCATTTCCTTAACAATTTCGCCATTGCAGCTAATTGCTTCTCCTAGAAGATCCAGACGAAGTAGGCGCCTAGTTTTACCACTGCTTCCCACGAATCGTTGATCGGCTAAGAGAATGGCATCGCGAAAGTCGTTATCAGAATAAGAAGTGGAAAGTACAGATGCAGCCTTTAGGACCATAAGATCAGCTCCTTTCCCACTAGGTGCACTTGAAGAAGTCCACGATAGGCCATGATGAGGATTGGCACTATTCGGTGAAGCCATTGGAGCAGTCGAAGAGCGAGATGCGACTACATAAGGTAATTGGTGTATGAACCGTAGACGGGTAAGTCATACGATTTCATAGTAATTAAAATTATTTAATATTTTTAAATTAAATATAATAAAATGTTTAAATATTACTTATTAAAATATAAAGTAATAATAATTAAATTTTAAAAAGGGTATTATTTATTTAATTTTAAAGAAAGTTCAGTAATTAGGTTGAGAAATTGAACAACTACTTGCTTTAGAAAAGGGCTTGGAGAGCGGTGTATGCTTATAAGTAAACTGAGTCGGCATCCTATCACAACAAGGAGCTAGCAATAGCTCAGCAAGCCCCCCTGGCCTAATGGCTAAGGCGTAAGACTTCTATAGACGGAATCTTAAGACTGCGGGTTCGAGTCCCGCGGGGGGTTTTTTTTGCTTCTCATTTAGCCTAAATAAATCGGAACAAATATTTCTCTTTTTATTCCATCTAGCCAATACAAATAAACAAGTTATTGCGCATTGGTTTTTACTTCATTTATTATTGTCTTTTCTCCAAATTGTTTATATTTTAGGGGAGCAGAGTTACACTTATCCAAGGTCAACCCCGCCTTACCTTAACACAGCCCCTTCCCATGCACCTCCCCGAACTATTATTACACCCAATTGCTAGGGGCTCTAGAGCCTTGTATCTCTACACGAAATACTGCATTAAAGCGTAAGTTGTCACAGAAACAAAAATTCTCCTGTTTAAAGCAAAGCAGGTAGCTGACACCTAATAAGCCACTAGAGCAAATAGCCAGTTAGTTGAGTTTGGATTGAAGGAATTGGGGTTCCTTATCACTATCCTTCTCCGTATTCTCATCAGCGGCTATCATAAGCTCTTGTCATTATATTCAAATTGTATATATTGCAGACTTTTTCTTCTCTTATAAGCTCGTTTTGCCAACTCACCAGATTAGTTCAGGGTGCCTCTCTCCGAAGAAAGATGTTGTATATCGTGTGGCAGGATGGGTGGCACAAAGGCCCATGCAAATAGTGTTTGACATGTGTCTTTTGTAAAGCCCCAGGCCGTCTTGTATCCAAATGCCCAAAGGTCAAGCCTTGCGCCATTTGAGGTCAAAAGAGCCACAAGGTTGAGTATTGTCCCGATCAACGAACTTTACGGCCTCTGTGACGATCCACGATAACGCCTTCCATCAAGGTTGCTTCTGCCAACATTGATATCGTTCCCTGCAACGAGAAATTGCACAATGAAGTTATTTCCCCAAAGCATGATGATGAAAAGTGGCTTACTCTTCCCGAAGAAGTCAGAGTTGTTAGTCTACCCGACCCCCTGATTTTACTGTACCAGATGCTTACTTTAGTTGAAAAGAGCACCACTATTCATGATCCCTTTATATTGTCAGACTTGAAAGCTGTTGGTCTACGCTTGCTCGACGATATTCTAGGTCACCGCCTAATTGGCGCCCAATCTCTCCGTATCTGGCTGCGATAGAAGCTCATGGCGGCGCCAATGCCGTTGTGGACATGCTGTTCGCAACCATTAGGCCGGAAACTATAGAAAATGCAGGGCAAGATTGTTTCTACCGCTGCTCTTACTAGTATCAAGTTAAGACAGAGCAAAGACAGCGATTGGTCCTCGCCGGTTGGTTATGCCAGCTTTGTTACCGACGCTAGGAATTATAAATACGTTTGACTGTATGTTGGGCAGTGTAATGTCCCCAGATGGCGAATATTTTCCCAACATATGCAATTTATCCTCCTGGGAAAACAAGACACCCTCCATTATTTCATCTTGTGGCTGCGAAACGGTCATCGAACGGCCAATTTCATCAAGCTTTCGGAGTCCCCATCCAATCAAATATTTGATGAATGGTATCAAATTCAAAGCAACTTACTCGAGGCCTTGTTCTGCAAGGCTTTTTTACTCACCACGGTGCTATTGAACCAACTATGCCTGGTACTGATGGCACCAACTCGAAGTATCAAATTTAAGTCAAAACCTTATGACTCCTTTGATCCAAGGCAGAATGCTGCCAACCATGTTGAGGCTCAACGTCAACGCATCAACAATAGATTCGCCAGATCCACCAATTCGTCACTGGGCATCCATTCGTCAAACCCAAAAAGAGTCTCAACCGCTTCCTGTTCTTCAACCGTTGCAGTTTCGGATAGATTTTTTTCGACGTCTTCAGCGCGGCGATCTCAGATGACAACATTTACCAGTCCTTCATTAAAGATTTGTTGGAAAGCACTGATTCTAGCTCAAAGAGCGAATCTAGTAACAAGCTTGAGGGTATTGACACTAGCGGTGTACCATTTACGGGCACTCTTTCGGCCAAGATTGGGTTTGACCTGTACTATGAGCTGATCTCACAAGCGTATGCCTCGGAGGTTGGCTCTGCAGAGAATGAAATAGCAAACTCAGACCTGCAATAGTAGCTAGGAGGCCATAGATTTAATACTATAAATACTCTCGTAGGGATATATAATTTTATAAGATTTTCAACTTTCATAAGTTAATTAAAAATATATTATTTTATTAATTTTTAGTAAAAGAATTTTATAATTTTTATTATATATTAAAAAAAGTAAATTTACTTAAGATAATTTTTATATATAATATTTATATTAAGAAAATTATAAATAATTTTATTTATATAAAAAAAATATAAACTTAAAAAATTAATTTTGTAATAATTATTAAACTTTAATACTTTATTATTTAATAAATTTTTATATTTAATTAAGTTTATATATAAAAGTTATATTTATTATTAAAAAAGTTAGCAAAGTTATAATAATTAAATTAAAGGGAAATTATACTTTAGTTTTTAATTTAAAATCTAAAATTAATTTATAACTTAACTTAATTAATTATAATAATAATAATATTACTTTAAATACTTATTTTTAAATAACTTTTTTTAATTCCCTAATATTTTCTTTTATATAAGAAAAACCTCTTAAGTAAAAGAAAAACTTATATATAATACTTCTACTATAAAAATAACTTAAAGTTACTTTAGTTTTATTTTTTAAAAAAAATATATTATTATATAATATTTATTTTCTTTAAACTTTTAAAGTTTTTATATATAAAAATAATAATCCCTTTATTTTTTTATTTTTTTTTATTTTTAATTTAGGTATAAGTAGTAATATAATTATATATAATTTTATATTTTTAAAAAAAAACTTAACTTTAGGCTTTATTATTAATTTACTTTTTTTTAACTTTAGCTTTATTACTTTAATAATAATATTAATTAAGGAAAAAAAAGAAATTTTATAATATATAATAATAAAAAGCTAGAATTAATAAACCTTAGTATTATTAAAGTATAATATAAAAATATTAAATATTATAATTATAAATATATATATATATATAAAGAAATATTACTAAGTCCCTAAGAAAAATAAAAAATTTATATTTATTCTAAAACTTAAGGAAAACTAAGCTATTAATATTATATAACCTTTAAAAAATTATAATATACTATACTTTTTAATATATTATAATAATTAATATTAAATATACTTTAGTAATAAATAAAAATTAAAATAATTTCTAAAAAAACTTAAAAAGTATATACCTATATATACTTTAAATATACTTAAGGAAATTACTTAAAAAAACCTTAGCTATATTAAATAACTTATTCAATAAAACCTTAATAAATAAAAATAAAATAATAAATTTAAAAATAAAAAAAAAGTACATTAAAAAAAAGAATAAACTAAAACTATATATTAATATAATAAAAACCTTCTAAATATAATACCTTTATTATAATATAACCTTTATAAAAAATAATATAAAAAAAATTAAAGGACTTAAAAAATATATATATAATTAATATATATTAGTAAAACCTAAAGGACTCTATTACTTTTATAAAATAACTATAGTAAATTAAAAATAATATAAAGATTAATATAAAATTTAAAATATTATTAAAGAAAATAAATACTATAATAAAATTATATAATAATAAAAACTTAAAAATTATTAAAAACTCCTTAAGTAATAAAGTTAAATTAAATAAATTAACCTTTATATTACTTATAATAAAATATAATTATTAAAAAATAAAATTTAAGTATTTATTAAAATAAATATAAATAAATATTTAATAGCTAAAGTATTAAAATTAGCTTTTTATTATATTAATAATATTTTACTTATAAATTAATATAATAAAGTTAATATTATAAACTATAATTTATTTTTATATAAATAATATATTTTATATAAACTTACTAAATAATATAAAAACTATAATATTTTAAATTATAAATAAAAAGAATTTATGTTTTATAATAAAAATAATTATATAAAATATTATATATAATAAAATATACTTTAATATATTACTTATAATATAATATAATAAAGTTATAACTTTAAAATATATAATATTAAAATAAAAAAAACTAACTAAAATAATATTTAAAAATATTATAAACTTATTAATAAATATATTCCTAAGCTTAAATATACTTAGTATAAATACTATAATATTTAAATTAATAAACTAACTTAAATTACTTTAAACTTAAGTAATATTAAAAATAACCTCGATAATAAAAAGTAAAATAATAAAATCCCTTATAATAACTATAATTATTATAATAGCGTTAATAATATAACTTACTATAACTTAAATATAATTATAAAAAAAATTATAAAAATTCTTAATACTAGGATTTTTAAATAAAAAACCTATTATAGTTTATATAAACTCTAAAGCTATAATAAGTTATATTATACCTTAGTTAATTAACTACCTAAAATTACTTAATTATAAAAAAAAGAAATTATATACTTTTATAAATATTAAAAAATAATCATTTACTTATAATAATAAAATTATTAATTATAAAATTAATTACTTTAAAATTTAATTTAGTAAAATTAAAAATATATTTAAATTTAATATTATAAATATTATAAAATATAATATACTTTTAAAATATAATTAACTTAAGTTATATAACTTTAATATTAATTAAAAAAAAAACTATATAATATAATAACCTTATACCTAATTAATTAATATTTTAGTAAAACTATAATTAAATTAAGAAAATTAATAAAATACTATAATATCTTTAATAATAAAGTTAATAACCCTTATATTATATAAAAAAATATAAAAATATAAAAAAAGAAATTATAAAATAAATATAATTTAAAAAGCTAAAGAAGCTCCTGAAAATAATTAAATATATTAAAAAACTAAAGAAAAAATAACTTAGATTTTTTAACTTAATTATATAAAAGATTAAAGAATTATATTACTAAGATTAAAATATACTAAAATAATTAAAAAATATATTTAAAAACCTTTAGTATATATTAGTTTTTAATAAAAAATTAAATACTAAACTACTAAAATATAGTTAATAAAATTATAAAATTAAATTTATATATAATTAAATCCTAATATTTAATAAAATTTATAACTTAAGTATTACTAAGCTTAAAATACTTAATAAATAAATTAAAAACTAATTAAAGAAGGATTATATTAAACTTTTTAAATCCTTAGTAAGTTATTTAATTATATTTATACTTAAAAAAAATAATAAACTTTAATTTATTATAAACTATTAATAATTAAATATAATAATTAAAAAAAATATTATATTATTACTTTTAATTTTAAAAATTAAAAATTAGTTTATAAAAAGTAAAATCTTTACTTTATTAAACCTTAAAGGAGTATATAATTTTATTTAAATTAAAAAAAGTAATAAATAAAAAACTATTTTTTATATAAAGTATAAATTATATAAATATTAAGTAATATTTTTTAAATTTATTAATACCTTAATATTTTTTTAAAAAAAATAATTAACTATATATTATAAAATTATATAAATTATTTTATTATTATATACCTTAATAATATCCTTATTTATTTAAAAAACTTAAAAAAATATAAAAAACATATTAAAAAATTTTTATAAATACTTTAAAATAATAAACTTTTAGTAAAACCTAAGAAATATAACTTTTATATATAAAAAATTATATTTTTAAAATATATTATTACCTTAGGCAAAATTTAAATAAACTTTAAAAAACTTAAAGTAATTAATAATTAAAAACTATTATAAAATATTAAGTAAATATAAAGCTTTTTAAAACTTATTAATTATTACTAATATTTTATTAAAGACTTTTTAAAAAATTACTATATTATTTATAAACTTAATAAAAAAAATATTAAATTTAAATTAATAGAAAATACTTTAATAACTTTTAAATACTTTAAATAAACTTTTATAAATATATAAATATTTATAATATTTAACCTAAATAAACCTATTATAATTAAAATTAATACCTTAAATTATATAATTAAAGGAGTACTTAGTTAATTAAATAATATAAAAAAAAAACTTAGTGTTACGAACCAATACATTTATAGTTGCAACAATAGGCCTACAGGGTAGGCACCCCGGAACTATAATAGACCAAGGACCTAATCATAGTAAGGCTTACGCTACAACGAGTGAGCTAAAGTAAGCTACTTCCTATCTAGGAAACCAGCTTACTCTAGGACAGGTGAGCTCGAGTAAGCTCTATACTATATATTTATTTTATAACGCTTATTTAAAATAGTTTAAATAACTAGTTGTAAATATAGAATAACGTTTAATTATACCTATAAAGTATTATTTACTAATTATATAAATAAACCCCTTTTATTTTTATTAATTGCTCGCTAATTCAGCCTGGCCTATCCGCTAATATAAACCTAGTATAAGGTTTATCCCTTAGGAATTCCTCTTATACTAATACTATAGGAGCTTAGCTTATTATACGTTTACAACTCTTATTTAAAGGTTACCTTAGACTACAGGTAATATTATTATAAGGATACTAAATAGTTGAATTCTACGTACTAGACGTTAGAATAGATTAAGAAAGTATTACCCTAAGTTATAAAAACAGCGATATAAAACTTAAAGAAGTACCCGAAGTTAAAATAGCTGGCGAAGATCCTTAACCTTAACTATAACTTACTTAGGAGTAATAGTAAGCTAAGATCCTGGCTCTTAAAGAAGAAATTATTAAACTTAAGGCTAAGAAGAAGGAAAAAAAGAAAATCCTTTAACCTAAATATCCTAATCCTTATAATAAAGAACCTAAGAATATAGAAAAGTATTTTATTAAATTTAATATTTACTTTAGATACTTTTTAAATACCTTAGAAGATAATAAAAATAAAATAATTTTTATAATTACCTGCCTTACTAAAGTAGCTAAAGAATAATTGCAACCTATTATATAAGACTTTAAGAAAAATATATTAAGTAAGTGGAAGACTTAAACCTAAGAAGTCTTTATATTTTACTAATACTTCTATAATTAACTTAAGAAATTATTTAAAACCTTAAATAAGGAATAGGAAGTAGAATAGGAACTCTGATTTATTAAATAGAAAGGATAATGCTTTAAGTATATAACTATGTTTATATAACTCCTTACTAAG